TTGCTTATTGGTCATTTTACTCATATAAGCTGTTTTATTTTGCCAAACACTTAAATGCTTATTGCTTATGACTTATTCCCACCACAATAAGCTAATCCAAACACATTTTAAAAAAATGCTTATTCCCACCACAATAAGCAAATAAGCAATAAGCTAATAAGCTAAAAACTATTTATCCAAACACCCCCTAAGGCATTATGTTGGTATTAAGTTTAAAAAATATAGTCATATAGTTGTCCATGTTAAGTTGTCTTCATATTATATCCGTTAAGTTAAAAAGAAACAACCGTTAAGTTAGTTGTCGTGATGCTTTGCTTAACTCGAAATGAATGAATAAAATGTTTATGTTTTGCTTAACTTGAGAGTTAATTGAACAGTTGGTAGCTGGAAACTGAAAATTTAACCAACTTGCGATATTATGTAAGCTCATGTTTGCGCCTAGCACCTTGCTAGCCTTTTAATATATTTCTGCTTTTCAAAAAAATAAAAGTTACGTGCTAGTTAACATAAAACAAGTTATTTTTACACATGTAGGTGGAGATTATCATCTATGCTATTGTGGACTATTTTATAAACAAGCAAATGTATGTTGTATTTGATAACATTGTCATATGATTATATCAAAGAGAAATTACAAGGGTTCTCAGAGAAAAGCATAAAGACTACAAGGAATAAAGTGGATATAAATACTAGCTAGACAGAAACCCTAATGGGTTAAAGACAAAAAAGGGCCCATAAACAAGCAGACTAATAATATAGACTAACATCCCCCCTCAAACTCACAATGCCGCAGCAATAAACATTGAGAGTTTGTCACATAAGAACCGAAACCGAGAAGCCGATAAAGCCTTCGTAAAAATATCCGCAAGCTGCAAAGTTGATGAAACAAATGGAAGCGAAATGGTCCCAAGCTGCAGATGATGACGATTAAAATGACAATCAATCTCAATGTGCTTCGTCCGCTCATGAAAAACAGAATTCTTCGCAATTTGTATCGCACT